GTCATATCATTTATAGCCTTTATGTAAAGAATAAATGATTTATGGGAATAAGGCCCAAAAAGACTTTAGGCCCAAAGTTCTAGGTTACATTTTCGGTACCTGTACCTACGCCTATAAATATGCGTACATGTGGTACAGGACCGAATAATCGATAATCAGAAATATACAGCGCCTTTCATTCAGAGTTTTCGTTCTTTCTTTCTCGATAGTATAGCGTAAGGATTTCTTCTGTTCAGAATATTTCTCGATCATTATTAAGAATCCTTCTCTATATTATTGTAGATCTTATTTAGATGTTCTTTCATCTTGGTATTTGGGACTAACAACGGCCTAATGATGATCAGTCTGCTAACTCTTTCGAGAGGACCCAGACTGCTGAGGGCCACCCTAATGCTGAGGACATCGCCGATGAACCATCCAGCCCGGCCACTACCACCAATAAGGCTGATGGTGAGGCATCCGATAGCATGGCCAAGGGGAATGAACGGAATGATGATGATGATGATGCAGACGATGATGACGACGACATGGAGGGAGTTCTTATCAGCAACAGGAAAAGAGCTGGAAAGAGAGCAATTCCAATAGACTCCGACTCCTCATCGGACAATGAAGAGGCTGCTCACATGTCTCAACCGCTTAAAGGCATCATTATCGGTGAGCAGCGCTCCAAGCACAGAAATGACAGCCCTGCATCATCAAAGCCTAAGAAAAGGCTCAGAAAGAAGAGTGCAGTGGAGGAAGAGTTGGACCTATATGCTGACTGCGACACCTTTCTCACCATAGACCGAACCACGTCCCTAGGTGCAGGAGCTGACCTTGTCAGTTCCCAGGTAGAAGTCACAGCATCTGGTTCAACTGCGCATGCACAGCCATCTCCCATCCACTCTCCAGCCTCCCAACAGGATGGAGTTTCAATAACTCAAGGGGAATTCATACCGACCTCGCTGGTTCCTTCCGAATCAGTTGAGAGACTTAGTGGTCAACAGCCCCGGACCACTACCCCCACTCGTTCAATCACACCGAGTCTAGGTGTCACCATCCCTACATTTTTCAATTTTTCTAGGACACCTACACTATTCACAGCACATACAGGTGCACACACCCTAAATGCAACGACCGGAGTGCAAACTATGATGGTCAGAAGTCCTGCTACGCCTAAAATGATTCCATCATTAAACGCAGGCCACACATCAGCTGTCTTCACGGATGCTGTGACAACAGTTACAACCCCTGTAACTGGAACCACTATCCCCGAAGACCTTCTCGTATATCTGAACAGCTTTCTGGAGTCTACCATTAAACCATGGGTGCATGAAGCAATAACCGCTAGTGCACAAGGCACTGGAAGCACCCCAGCTGTTCAGGATGTACCAACCGAACCCCAAACCACACAGCCCCCAACCATTTCCATTCCCATTTCCCAACCATTAATCTTAGCTAACCAACAACCAACAACCCCCAACCTCCAGGGGAACCCAGGATACAGAACTAGTATCCTCCCCTACAACGACCAAACCCGACCTCAAAACCGTACCCTTCGAGGACCTTGTAGCTGAGGTCTTCGACCGTATCCTAGACGTGGATGAAGGCGACCTTACCCCTCTTCAAAAAGCCCTTCTCCATGCTCTGAATACACAGAACACATGTCGTGACAGTCTCCGTGGCGCCAAACGTTCACATGAGGATCCTGATGATTCGGATTCTCATGAGGGGGAGAACAAGCGCCAGCGGATACTTGAGCATGTTGCTTCTACAAGCCAAGCCCCGCAGCCAAACCAACCCTCCACTTCAACCAATCAACAACCCACTACTTCAGCCAGCCAAAACAAATCCTTAGCCTCTCTTTCTAGCATGGTCGAGCTAGACAAAACATTCCGAGGCGCATCTCCTATAGATGTTGACCAAGGACGGAATGGAAGTCGTGATGTTGTTACTTCAAGTACATCATTTTACTCAGGCCATCAGCTAGAACCTAGTTCGAAACTGATGACAACGGGCAATTCTGAGGATCCCGGTGTTTCACACGACAGGTCGCCTTCGACACAACAACAAGCTCACTCTAAACCCTCTGGTTATCAAATACAAGATGAACTTGAAGATTTTCTAGTTCATGATCAGTGGCCTCGCAAGTGGACAGAGTGGGACGATTTTAGAGTGGAAGCCGAGCAGTATGAAATGTGTCGAAGCTGGCATCTCAGAGAGTTTCTCAATAAATATCATGCACAAATGATTGGACTCGATGAAGATGAACTCAAGGAAGGGGAGAATAACAAAGAAAATCCCAAGGAACCAGAACCAGCCAAAGAAAAATGGGAAATTGTAAGAATCAAAGCCCCCTTCCTAGAAGAAATCCGAGAGAAAATTTGGCGACAACCAGAAAAAATCAAGAAATTCAGTGAATTAAAGATGCGAGGAATCAATCATCTGAAAGGAAAGTACAGAGGTGGAAATTTGTACATGCTAGGACACAGATCCACAGGGGAACAACGACAAATTCCGAATCATAATCTCGCAACAAGCGGATGACCTGTAATGAAAATCCTGGATATCACAGAAGATTACTTGGAAACAATTAAGTTCCTGATCTTTCGTCTACGACGCACTGATGGATCGGAGTTCACCTGCCAAGAGAATGACTTCTTCCTACTGCACATGGATGACATTTATCAAATGTTCATGAGATGCAGGGAGCTTCCAATTCACAAAGATAGACTTGCTAAAGAGAGCTTCGAGGCTATAAAGAGATTCATGACAAGACAAGTTCGGTTTTACGCCTCCCATGATCTCCAGATGACCCTAGAACACAACTATTCAAAGGCAAATCTTACATAACCAGACTTGAGTAGACCTGGGCTTGAGTCCTTTGCAGCATATCATATCTTTGACAACCCAGTCTCAATCATTTATCTGAATCATAACAAAGAAAAGCGCCTAATGTTTGTAGATGAAATCAACAAGTATTGTGACGGGACTCTGAAGATCATCCAGGAGCAGCTTCGATCAAAGAAAGAAGAACTTGGTCAGAAATCAACCAAAGCCTCTAAAGAAGAACTAAAGGAACTACAGAGAATTAATAACATTCTACAGGCCATCGAAAAGCAACTTGACAGAAGAAGATCACTCAGAAACTATGAGCACGCTCTTAATCTCAGAAAGAATTATTATAAAGCTCAGCAGTGAAGAGAAGAAGAAGAAGCAAGACGACACTTGATCACAAAGGGGCAGATTGTTGAGGAAAATATTCATTGTGATCAAGTTTGTCTAGAGTCTTGTTATCCCAATTAGATTAGTCATATCATTTATAGCCTTTATGTAAAGAATAAATGAACTATGGGAATAAGGCCCAAAAAGGCCTTAGGCCCAAAGTTCTAGGTTACCATTTCGGTACCTGTACCTACGCCTATAAATTTGCGTACATGTGGTACAAGGCCGAATAATCGATAATCAGAAATATACAGCGCCTTTCACTTAGAGTTTTCGTTCTTTCTTTCTCGATAGTATAGCGTAAGGATTTCTTCTGTTCAGAATATTTCTCGATCATTATTAAGAATCCTTCTCTATATTATTGTAGATCTTATTTAGCTGTTCTTTCATCTTGGTATTTGGGACCAACAAGTATGATATCGTTCGAGATACATAAGGGTACGAATTGTTCAGTCAGAAATGCTAGGGGTACACAAATTGTACACAAAATGTCGGTCACGGACAAATGGTACGGAGTTGCCTATGAGCACAGACATGCATTTACTTTTGTGTAAAAAGTACACCGACAATATTTCAGGTTGCACAAACAATTATTTGTCTTTGTGCCTAGACAATATTTACCACACAACAATAGTTTTGCGACTCACAGACAATAGTTGTCTGTATGGTCAACTTTAGTTGTCGGTGTAATCAATTTTAATTGTCTGGGTGACCAAAAAAATTAATTGCCTATATATATTGAAATGAATAATGTAGCTGTATGTGTAATTTGAAAAAAAAAAAGAAAAATAATAAAAAAGACAAAATAAAATAAATAAATTGATTTTGTTCAAATAATGAAAAAAAATTGATATAAAAAGGTAGAGAAAAAGAGGATGAAGAGGGAGGGAAGAGGAAGATGAAGAAGAGAAGATGATCTCTCATTTTTTTTTGAGATTTTTGAATGGGTTGGGTAAAGAAAAGAGAGAGAAGGGAGAGAGGGAAAGATAGAAGGGAGAGAAAGAAATGGAAGAGGGGAAATGAGAATTTTTTGGGGGCTTTTATACGGTGTACACTTTGTGTGCATCATGTGTACTTTAACCATTTTTCTTGTTCGGTAGTACGAGCATATATCTTTACTTGTGTTGAGTAGTAGTCATTGTTAGCTAGTCTAAATTGCAACTCTAAGGATGTTTTTATTTGGACGATAATTTGCTGATTTGATTTGGTCTGTTTAAGGTTGACCTAGTCTGAATTGGTTTGGTCTGGTAAACATATGGTCTCTGTGTATTTTATAACTACGGAAGTCAAATCTAATCTGGTCTGATATGTTTAAGTCTGGTCTGGGACAGAAAACAGTCCAAATAAAAACATCCAAAAAAAGAAGAAATATTCCGAGCTGCTTAAAATGTAAGTGTAATAAATTTAACAAAAAGAGATCAAGTAAAAAGTTAATAAAATTGAAATGAAAATATACTCATATTTTGAATTAATGGTGCATTCATCTTTTTTTGAAAGGATTTATGGTTGCATTCATTAGTCAACATAATAAAAAGTGAAATGTTTTATAATAATCAAATGGGTATTTTGAGATATAGCACTATGGGAATGTAAATCTTAACTTGAAGAATATTATTGAAAATGACTTATTTAATGAGAATTCCTAATATATTCCCAATAATTTGTTTGAGTTAGTTGTAAACTAAGAACAAGTGAAGAAATATTATACGGAGTAAATTATAATCTTTCCACATAAATATTCAATAACCTGTCTCATTTATTCTTGCTGATGAATGGCTTCCCCACATCTTTTCACATTTTCCTTTCCTCAATCAGTCAGTTTTGTTAATTAGCTCTGTAATCTCATTCCCCACATTTATAGCTTTAGTTCTTTAAAACGAACCATTCGAAAACCAATCCACACATAACATATGCGATGCGGCAAGCAGTAAGAACAACTTCAATCAAGTACGTTTGACAAAACGCCCACGCTTCCCAAAAGCAGTTTTGGCCTTTTTGCAGCCCTTCAACTCTTCTCAATGAATCTTCTTCACCCCCTATGCTGATCGGAGCTCATGCCACTCTCCTCCAGCAATTATCAGCTCTTCCATGGCGATCATAACTGAAGTTCCAGATTCGCCCCCTAAACCCCACACCTCACCGCCCTCTAAACCCCGCACTCGGCCTCCCCATTCCGATCACACCTCCACTGCCAAGAACACCGCTAACCCATTTCAATTCTGGTTCTATTTTACCGTTTTAGTGTCTCTACTGACTCTTGTCTTCATCTTTCTGTCTTCTTTGTCCCCACAAGACCCCAAGGCTTGGTTCATCAGCCTGCCTCCTAATCTGCGCCGCCACTATTCCAGCGGCCGCTCCATCAAGGTCCAGACTGCGCCCAATCACCCCCAAGTTGAAGTCTTTTCGATCCAAGAAGGGCCCGTCAAGTCTTCAGACCATGTTCTCTTTGTACATGGGCTTGGATGTAACACATTTGCATTTCAGAAGATCGTTGCTTTTTTAGGTCAGAAAGGGATTCATGCTGTTGCTATCGATCTGCCTGGTTCGGGATTTTCCGACAAGTCAATAGTTGTGGAGGAGGGTGGGGGTGGAGGGGGCTTTGGGAGGCTTCTGGATGTGTATAATGAGATATTGGAGAAGGGTCTTTTTTGGGGGTTTGATCAGCTGGTTGAGAAAGGCTATGTTAATTATGAGGAAAGTGAGCCTCCAAAAAGGAAGACTGTTAAATCCATTGAGTTGGATTCTGAAGAGATGGCAAGGGTGCTAGGGCAAGTGATTGAAGCAATGGGGTTATCTCCAGTGGACTTGGTACTTCATGATTCGGCATTAAGTTTGAGTGCCAATTGGGTTTCCGAGAATTCAAGAATGGTAAGAAGTGTCATCCTTCTTGATAGCGCACCAAGTGAAACAGCATTGCCAGTGTGGGTGTTTGAAGTTCCATTGATCAGGGAGGTTGTTTTGCATTCTGGTTTCTTGTTCAAGAGACTTCTTGAAAACTATTGTTCTGGATCCGTGAGCAAGTCAGACGCTGAGGCTCATAGGACTCTTATGATGGGAAGAGATGGTAGGAGAGCTGTTGTTGGAATGGGGAAGAGGCTAAATCATAGTTTTGATTTGGCTGAATGGAGTGCTTCTGATGGAGTGAAGGAACTGCCAATGCATGTTATTTGGTCTACAGGGTTTTCAAAAGAATGGAGTGAGCAGGGGAATCATGTTGCTGCTTCACTTCATCAGGCAAAATTTGTAACTCATTCTGGTGGAAGGTGGCCCCAGGTGAGAATCTGTTATCTTCATGTTCTTACCATTTCATCTTAAGGTGATGATATATTGAGATGACATTGTGAATTTTGTCTGTTTTCCTGCTGAGATAGCTTATCAAAGTGTAGAAAACTTTGATTTATATAAAAAATAGCTACTCAGGGTTGTCGGGTGCAACATCATAGGGGAAAGTAGGGAGGAAAATAGAATGAAAATTTGTTAAGGAATATTTTTTGGGGGAAATAAAAATTGGTTCAGCCTCAATAAAAACTAAACTTAAATTAATTAACTTGGAGGCTAACTCAAAATTTAGTTTTAGTCCTCCGCGTACTTCAAGTATACGTCAAAGCACAAATGTGCCGAGATGGTTTAGCTTAGTTGTACACCATGTCTACTCTTTGCATAGGTTTAAATGATTGTTCCTAAATTGTGGCCTACTGATTGCCTTGTTCCTAAGAATAGCCCTGAAGTTCCTGAATACATTGAGTCTTTGTTAGAATATTCCATTCTCTCAAAAGAAAGGGATTATTATTTTTATCCATGATCCATTCACCACCACCTTCACAAGTCCTTCTGATCAATAACTAGTCTATTTGTGTATGTTGCCATTACTTTGAGGATGTTGTGAATAATTGTGTCAAACAGTTTAGCTTGAATACAAAGATGTAGTTTAGGGAAGAATTTTCTTGGTTTAGATTGTTTGTTCTGTGAATATCCCTTTAACTACGTGTGCATGCTAACTGTTTTAAATTCCGTGTGGTAATTATCGTAAGTCCCGTTGTTCGATTTGCTTGAGGACAAGCAAAAGCTTAAGTGTGGGGGAATCTGATAAGTCCGTAATTAGACACGCATTTGATGCGTGTTGGAGTTGGTTTTTGATGGTTTTCCTAGCTTTAAGGCGTTGCAAGTCTCAATGTTAGCTCAAGTTGTGATTATCAGGCGTTGGATCGAGTTTCGTTGCAATTGGAGTTGAATTGAAGAAGTCAGAGTTCGGCAATCGGCGCTTGAGAGGCATTCAGGAAGGATTTGAAGGCATTCAAGAAAGATTTGAGAGATTTGGAGGTCACCGGGAGATTCACGACGAAATTCTGATGAAGAAAGAGCATTTGGATCGATCTCGTAGGCATCCGGGAGCATTTGAAGCAAGAAACGAAGAAAAATGATGAAGAAAAGCCCAGACATGACCGTGCCAGGAAGAGGAAGGCACGCAAACATTCTGCCAGTCAGGCACGATCGTGTCGTGCCTGCAACCGAGACGCGTGCATGCTCCGCAGGCACGGTCCCAAGCACGATCGTGCCTGGCCCCGTTTTGTCCTAATACAGCTCAAATTCTCCTTTTTTCTATAAATAAGGCCTCCATACCCCTTTTTGAGGGTTACGAACTTTGTGGAGAGGCCTAGGACGAGTTTTACCTGCGTTTTTACGTTGTTTACTTCGAGAACCTGAGATTCTTTGGAAGTTCAATTCTTTTAATTAATGACAATTTATTCTATTCATCCCAATTCTGTTGATTCGTCAATTATGAGGCGTGAGTAGTTTAATTAGGGATTTGGGGTTGATGAAGGGGTTAATCATGATTGATGGCTAGATTCTCAACACCTTCATCATTAACTACGTGTGCATGCACAACCCCACCCCTTCAGATTTGGGGTTGACGAAGAGAATCTAGCCATCAATCATGATGAAGGGGTTAATCATGATTGATGGCTAGATTCTCTTCGGTTTAATTGCATGAATGTCGTAAGGGGCCGTAACGATTAAGGGGCCGTAAGCTCGCTCGTCTTGGCAATAATTTTAGGATCTTGTTGCATGAGAGATCAGTCTGGTCCTCTAAATTATTGTACTCTACGCCGCGAGAGCGGTAAGAACTTAGTAATGATTAGCTAGACTCAATTAAATTAAATTCATGTAATTAGGCCTGTTCTGCCAGAAATCTGGTTAACCCCGGAATCAATTCCTGTTCCCTTCGTCGTTAATTAAGGAAAAACCCAATCTTTTTGTTTGCTCATTAGCGTTAGTTTTATTTTATTCAATCAACCAATCTCGCACAATTGCATTTTATTTTATTTATTTCTTTTTAATCGCTGAATTTAGTTAATCTTTAATTCCCTTTTGTCCGTCCCTGTGGAGACGATACTCGTACTTCCAACCACTTTTCTACAACCATTTTAAGTGCGAGAAAACACTCTATCAATACTTAAGAATTGCAATGTGAATTCCTTTGATGACTATGAGCCCGTTTGGAGAACTCTGTTTTCGGCTTATCAGGCTTATCAGCCAGCTTTTTCACCAAACACGTAACTTTTACTTTCGCGCGCTGAATTGTGTAATAAGCCGAAAAAGTAAGGTTGGAGTTACTTTTCTGGCTGTATTGGCTGAAGTTACTGTAGAGGACCATTTTAGCTATTTTTACATATAATTTTTTCTTTAATTTATTAATAAAATATATTTTTAAAATATTTTTTTCTTAAATCAGCAGAATCAGCCAAAACAGCCACTCCAGCCAGAATATCATAAATTTCAGCAGAATCAGCCAAAACAGCTGATTTTGGTGCTACCAAACGGGCTCTATATATATGAGTGAACAGTTTTCCACATTCATGTCGCATATCTGATATGTCCAATCCTAAGTTTGGTTGAATCACTATGTGAGGATAAGCCTAAAAACTTAGAAGCTCTAAGTTTAGAAGTATAGAGTAGGTTTTGCCCAAGGAGAAGAAAAATTCGTCAGAAAACACTACACAATTCACATTGTTCATTAGTGACAACGAAGCATTAAAAATATAGCCCACAAAAAACTGACAATAGGGAAGAAATGATGACATGGAACACAAATAGGTGATATCTAGAATTATTGTGCACTAATACACTAAAAGAACCTTTTTTTGTCGACACGCTAAAGGAACCTGAAAACTAATTAAATGAAAGTAAAACATCCTTGACGTGGCTATAATACAATCCAGGCTATCCAATGATCAACACATAAATAGACAACTAGAATTGTATATACAAACTAAACAAGAGAGTTCAGTAAAAGAGGGAATAGAGAAGAAAAGTATTTCATATCATTCATATCCCCGCTTCAGTACATCGGATGCTATATATTGAATACAGTTTAGTCAAAGTTAGCTGAACTTGCTAACTAACTCTAACTAACAAGCTCGTTATTACAAAATATAACTATCTATAAGCCTGCTGATGTGGCCCTGGCATCCAACTGAATAACTCCAGCTCACTAATCAACTCTAACTGTATCAGGCTATGTTTGGGAGCATGTTAAAATTATCAGAAACCATCTTTCCTTTCGCAAAAATGGTTTCTCTTGCCGTTTCTCATGTTTTGGGGAATCTTTATCAAAATCAGATTTTAAGAAAACCCTCTTTACTCTGCTCGGAAAGTGGTTACGATTGAAGCAAAAATGTTACGCCTACTTTATGAAATCAAGGTTCAACCAGTTTTTTTCGTTTTTTTGTACATATGAATAAAGCCAAAGACTCACTATATTTTGGCTTGGGAATGTGATGGAATAAAGCAAAATGACTCACTAAATTATCTGCGCTTTGTTATGAAGCAGCAGTCAGTTTATGCAATTTTTTACGCGATTCATCATGGATCATCCGGAAACAGTCTTTCCATGCTTTAGTACATCCGACCCCAACGTAGGTAGGAGCCTTTGCGACACTGGGGTAATGTTGTTGTTTGTATGAATAAAGGAAAGTTTGATTCCAATAATCCAATTTTTTGGCTTTGCATATAACAGTCCTCCATTTCACTTTCTTGAGAATTATGTAACATTTCCAAACTCCTTGATATAACATGTCTTTGTTAGAGTGAACCTGATTTTGCAAATAACCAGTCCAACATGACAAGTTTAATATGTGGACTGATATTAGAATGAAAGTTGGCTTATTAGAATCAAAGTTTTCCATAAATAAATATGCATACAAAATTATTAAAATTACCGTGTTTAAAGAATGATGATTATTACTAGTAGTGTTTGATAATAAATAATTACACATTTGAAATCATGTATGCAAACTAACATCGAGACGTAACCATATTTTCCTGTTTCAAGCCACATTTCCAAAAGTTATCCTAAACATAGATCACACCTTATTCATGCTCATTTGCTCAAACTACTTTTGTTCTTCGCTGTACTAAACACACTCTAAACCATACTTTGATGTATAACCAAGAATCACATAAAGTGTTATGCACTTTGTTTTCAATATCTCTAGCATAAAGATATGTGTTTTTTGTCTCATAACTAAAGAGGGGGCGGTTCACTGATTTCAGGAACAAGGTGCCGACGAGGTAGCTGAAAGCATTTATCAATTCATTTCCTCCTTACCCAAACCCATTAAACAGTTAGAGGAAGAACCAATGCCCGAGCATGTCCAAGAGATGTTGAAAGACGCACAAAACATTGATCATGACCATATCCACAGTCATGGACACGAACACTATGATGGACACCATGGTCATGCCCATGCTGGATATATGGATGCATATGGGCTTGGGCATGGATGGGAAATGTGATTTGCTAATATTTATTGGAAAAGTGGATTTTGCTTGCTCGTCTAAGCTCAGCTAAGATATATTGATATCTCATTTTTTCTCTCCTTCAATCACTCTTGTTGCCCTGCAAGAGCTGTTATTGCTGCTAGCTTGAAAGCGGAGATAATCTATAGCAGACTGGACTGGAAGGTTTTGTTGACAAGGTTGCGTAAATTGTTACATGACTTGGCCTTTCAATTCTTCCCTGTATAATCTTTATTAATGCAATCCAGAAATATTGTATGCCACGACTACTTTGAGTTGAATTTCTTGGAGTCCTTTTAGGCTTTCACCAACTAGTTTTATTTGGCCATATTGAAGTTTTACATAGCTGCGTGTTAGCTGTTTTGACCCTGTTTTGAAGCAGTGAAATGGAATTCCTATGATGATGTTTTTAAATGGATTGAAATTTTCTAGTTGTAACTTGTAACTGGTTTGGTTTAATAGATGTTTGTTACGGAGTATATGTGAGTTTACAATTGTCGAAGTATGATTTGTTCTGATCTAATCTGATCTGTTTAGATCTGTTCTGGGACTAAACCAGCCCAATTAAAATCATCCTTAACTTGAATTTGATGCTAATGGCTTTCCTTTATTTGATTCATCAAACTCTACAATGTTTAGTTAGAAATGTGAATTTTTTATGTGCAGTTTCTATAAAAGTAACTTTAATCGTGATGATTTATGTTTAACTTTATACTTAACTAACCATGACATCACCTTTAAATATATCTTTATAAATTTTTATTTCAATAGAACGCTTTAAAAATCTTCATTCTTTTTGAAACTTGTTATTAATATTTATATATTTACATTATCCATTGGATAAAGAAATTCAAGTTGAAACAATAAACAAATAGACGAATCAATAATACACACACCGAACTGGGTTTATTGGTCCATACTTAGAGAGTGTTTGCAACTGCTTCTGCTTAAAAAAGCACTTTTGGAGTGATTTGGAAAAATTGATTAGTAGTAAAAGTTGATAGTGTTTGAGAAAAAAGTGATTTTGAAAAGTAAAAGTTGGTAGTGTTTGGTAAAATAAGTGCGTTTTATGTACTCCCTATGTCCCTAAAAGAAGTTCCATTTCGCTTATCGAAGGGTCAACTTAAATCACTCTTAAACTCTTACTTTTTATATCAAAATTTTATAAAAGTTGAATTATTTTTTGCAGGCTTTGTAGCGGGTTTAATGTAGTTTCTGAATATGTAAATTTTATTTACTAAAAATAATCCGAGTTTTCACAGGGATCATTTAACTTTATCGTCGGTAAACCTTCGTAATCCGCAATTGGAACAACATTTAGGGACGGAGGGAGTAATAGAAAAGAGAAAAACACTTTTCACACGAAAGCCAAGAAAAGTAAAAATTGGTAGTGTTTGGTAAATAAATGTTTTTTAAGTCAAAAACTGAGAAATGCTTTTTAAGCAGTTGCAAACCAGCCTTTAGAGTTTTAAGCCCCTACTTTTTGAAGCCTAGTGGATTATCAGTTTGATAGTCATTTGATCACCCTGTTTTTCGGCTTATCAGGATTATTAGTTAACTTTTTCACCAAACATGTAACTTTTGATTTTGACGTGCTAAGTTGTGCAATAATAATAAAAAGTAAGGTTGAAGTTAATTTTCTGGCTGTATTGACTGAAGTAACTGTAGAGTCCATTTTAGCTATTTTTTCATGTATTTTTTTCCTTATTTTATTAATTAAATATATTATATATATAATTTTTTAATAAATCAGCAGAATCAACAAATCTAGCAACTTAAGTCAAAATTTCATAAATTTCAGCAGAATCAATCGATTCAACCAATTTCATTATTACCAAACAGGCTCTCGGTATGATATACGAGTAGTTTTTTCGTATTTGAGGTTGAACCAAGTGCAACTAAAAACACACTCATATTTTATTTTATTATGACCCCATTTGTAGAGAGGTCTACGCATAGGCAATATTTAACTAGTTTCTTCCCATTTGTCAAGTTTTGATGTCAACTAAAACCAACTCGGTATATATGATTGAAAACTAAAAAGGCAATATTTTATTTCATATTTTTAGTTGACCCCATTTGTCCACTAAAAACTATATGATTGAAGTTTTGTGCGGAGGACACAGACATGAACATAGTCACAAATTTATTAGGTTTAGGCTATGTTTGGTATGATGTAATCAATCATGTAATGTAATGAGCATTACGTGTTGATTCAAATACAATGTTCGGCATGTTATTTTATTTTAAACCGTAATGTAATGCGCATTACGTATGTGTAATCCATTACTTTAATGTGTGTAATAGGCTTTACATTAGAATCCTAATATATTTGATATTACATTTTCTTGTATTTTTAAGTGTGGCCAGCTGTCCCCTCTCCCGACAGATGATTTTTCCCTTTGAAATTTGAACTTTTTCTTCTTCCCGAGTGTTCTACCGCGGCTAACCAAACATAGTAATTGAATATTGTTTCATTCCATTACATTACGATTTTTATTGCATTACATACTTCATTCCAATACATTGTATTACTACACCATATCAAACATAACCTTAATGAGTCAAACTCAAATATAAATTTGGCACATTAACTCTACGTGATTTAAAAAATGTGTCAAACCTCCCGTGTTATAGTTATTCGTGCACAAACCCCTTCCATGAACAAATTTAATTGTCAAATAAATAAAAAATGATTCGAGAAATCCTGATAAATGTATTTACATATTTAATCGTACTATTAAGAGAAGTGATTTCAAAATTGTAAATTTTTTACTTAGAGGTGTTTTGCGCATAAATAATTATAACACATGAGAGTTGGACACATTTTAAAATCATAGAGCTCTGATGCCCCGAATTTATATATCAGGAGAGAGTTTGTTGCCTTAAACACCAAATTCATTACTTTAATGTAATCAATCATGTAATGTAATGAACATTACACATTGATTCAAATACAATGTTTGGTATATCATTTTATTTTAAGTCGTAATGTAATGTGCATTACGTATGTGGAATCCATTACTTTAATATGTGTAACAGGCTTTACATTAGAAACATAGTGTGGCCAACTATTCCCTCTTCCGGTAGCTAATTTTTCCCTTTCAAATTTGAACTTTTTCTTCTTCCCGAGTGTTCTACCTCTGCTAACCAAATATAGTAATATTGATTTCATTCCATTACATTACCATTTTTATTGCATTACATATTTACATACTTCATTCCAATACAGTGTATTATTTGTACTACATACACCCTAAAAGTAAAGTTGGATAGCAGAGAATATTTGATTATGCCGTTATGGATTAATAATTAATTAAACGGAATGATTGGACCACAAGTCATTGAGCCCGTTTGGAGAACTCTGTTTTCGGCTTATCAGGCTTATCAGCCAGCTTTTTCACCAAACACGTAACTTTTACTTTCGCGCGCTGAATTGTGTAATAAGCCGAAAAAGTAAGGTTGGAGTTACTTTTCTGGCTGTATTGGCTGAAGTTACTGTAGAGGACCATTTTAGCTATTTTTACATATAATTTTTTCTTTAATTTATTAATAAAATATATTTTTAAAATATTTTTTTCTTAAATCAGCAGAATCAGCCAAAACAGCCACTCCAGCCAGAATCAGCCAAAACAGCCGATTTTGGTGTTACCAAACGGGCTCATTATCTTTCTAGAGTCAACGAAGATGGCTGTGTATTTGTGTAGAACTCCATTATCGACCGACGGTCAGAAAAAATGAACATTTGAACAATGAACCTCTACCACTCAGAACCGGAGCCAGAAAAAGATGGGATGTTGTTGTGACGAAGAAGACGAGCTGCTTTTTGTGCCATTGAATCCACCGGAAACCGTTCAAACTCCTCCCTCTTCGTCTTCCGGCACAACCACAGCCTACGGCGGAGACGCCGTTATCTCCCCGATGAATTCCAATTTCCCTGCTTTGCTATGCCAGGACACTCTCCGCGCGATCCTCGAGAAGCTCCCTCTGCCTGACTTAGCACGCGCGGCGTGCGTTTGCAGGCTCTGGAATGCAGTCGCCTCCGATAGGGAGATGAAGACCAGTGCGTTCAAGGCTCCATGGAAGCTCAAGGACATCATTGGAAACCCTAGCTCGGGTGCTTTCTGGAGAGACAATAGCATCTCCAAATTCGCCATTTCTCACCGAATTGTCCGTGGTGATAGTTTAGCTAGCCTTGCTGTCAAGTACTCAGTTCATGTATGATCTATCTGTCTCTCTCTTACTCTTCTATAGGTAACTTTTATGAACTTTTGTGATAGAATTAAACAATTGAACAATTAAAGAAGGTGGAAATGGTTTGGAGTCGATGCGATCTCAAACTAAAGGTGCACCATCTTGTTTTTTTTTTTTTTTTTTTTTTAAATTAATTCGTGAAAGTATTGATCATCATATTATAGAAGTGATGAAATTAACAGAACTTAGAGCTGGGGCGGCACACATTTTGGTTCTGAGTAACTGTAATCTTCTTCTTGCTGGAGTAACTTCAAAGGATGTGAGGAATCATGAATTTATCATGCTTCATTAGTAATAGTTCCCATCTTTAGGTCAATAAAGAAGGATTAGGCAGTTCCTAATAGATTGATGAGGTATAATTTTTGTAAAAACTAAGAAGAAAAGTTATGCATTTCATGTTTATGATATAGAATGCACTAGCTTACAGCTCATCTGTCTACCCGAGTATCTAGTATCTACCATTGGTTGCAGAATTGAAATGATATTAGCTCTATTAGTTTTGATTGAACAACATTGACAATAATTATCCCAGATATGAGATATATTATTTTTATTACTAGTAATTCATTTTGAAATTGATGAGCATAGTGCTAAACTGGTAACCTTTAAGTGTAACCAATTGCTTTCTTTTGTTTTTGTTTTTGTGAATGCTATACCTAGTATAATCCTTCCCCCCTCCCCCACCCACCCCGTTTCAAGTTTATGATATAGAATGCACTAGCCTACAACTAATTTATCTACCTGAGTATCCATCATTGATTGTAGAATTGAAATGATATTAGCTCTATTAGTTTTGATTGAACAACATTGCCAATCATTACCCTGGATATCTTATTTTAATTAATTTGTTTTGAAATTGAGGAGCATGGTGCTAAACTGATAACCTTCATGTGTAGCCAATTGCTTCTCTCTTTTTTGTTTTTGCTTTTTGTGAATGCTAATATGCTATACGTAGTTAACTTCAAAATTTTAGAGGAAATGCTTTAGTGTAGTTTCTAAATCTTTTTCATTCATATTATTATATAATATATGTGTAGGTTATGGATATAAAACGTTTGAACAACATGATGAGTGACCATGGCATATACTCAAGGGAGAGGTTACTCATCCCCATCAGCAATCCTGACCTGCTAATGGATGTCACATGCTATGTGGAGCTGGATACCCATGCAAAAAGGGAAGTGGCAGTGTTATATCTTGAGGGATGCCCCGATAAAAATCCCAGTTGTCTGTTGAGAGGGCTCACGACATCTAGACATGGCAAGAAAAGGGTGATTGACTCCTTGAGGAGGAGCATGCGAGTTGACGATGAAACTGCTCGATACTACTTGGCAGTGTCCAATGGTGAACCCAGAACAGCCATTTTACAGTTTTCTGAGGATATGAGGTGGGAGAGACAGGTCGGGCTGGCTTAGTTTTCAAATCTTGTTTCAGATATGAGGTGGGATTTTATGCATCTATATATTGTTTGTTTAAAATTTACTGTTGAAAAGGATCCCATGAAGGGCAAGTTGTTGATCAATCAAAAACAGCAGAACAGGCTAGGCAAGTACTTGTGTCATTCTTTGTGTCTGCTTAACCGTGTTGTGCTCTCATATAAAATGTACTACGTATTTCACTTCTATGTATGTTTCTAGGGGTGGGATCGGGATGATCCCGATCCCGATTGCCCAAATCCCGATCCCGTCCCGATCCCGATTCAAACTCAAAGAGGATCCCGTATCCCGTCCCGATTAAGTCGGGATCCCGACATTAAAATCCCGATTAAGTCGGGATCCCGATCGGGAATCCCGCTTAATCCCGCTAAATCCCGACAATGAAGTATCAAACATAAAATTATGTAATTTCTTAAGTTAAACACTAACTTTGATATTTAATGGTTTCAATATTATTCTTTGTTTATTGTTATACCATATTTATCATCATCTACTTATAAAAGTTATTGTAATAATTATCATCTCAAACTCACACTAGTATATACTTCTAGAATAATTTTTATGTGTAACTTCAATTAATTAATAGTATAATTTTTGAATAAGCTATCAAGGCTTAGTGAAACTTACTTCAAACAATATATAAAAAACACTAAAAGAAGGATATGTAATGTATATTATTTAAAATTCAAAACTAAGTAGACTCATTGAGAAACTTTGTGACCAATGAATATAATATGTAAATACATATTATGATTATCTACTAAAGAAAGAAATCTTAGTCTCGATCACAATTTTTTAAAGAGTTCATCAGAACCGCAAAATTTGTAATATTGTATGTTGTGATTTAGATTGTTGGGATCAAGAATAATCTCTACTTAGTTAGGATACCGAATATTCATTTTCGGACAAATGCCGAATAGTTTTAGAAGTTTGATATTGTAAGATACTCGTAGTAAAAGATTAATCTATGTAAGGAATAAGTAATTAAAAAAGATGTGCAAATATTTAGATACATATTCATTTTTTATATATTCATATATAATTATATACATGTATATATATAATTATATATATATATATAATGTCGGGATGTCGGGATTTTCCCGATCCCGACTTTTTTTTAAAAAAAATCCCGGTCCCGTCCCGACTTAGTCGGGATCGGGAAAATTTCCTGACTAGTCGGGATCGGGATTGTCGGGATCGGGATTTTCGGGATCGGGATTGTCGGGATCGGGATCGGGAGTCGGGAGTCGGGAGTTTTTTCCCAGCCCTATATGTTTCAGACCAATTCTATGGTCGGAAATATCAATGTAGAAATCGGATGATCAGGAAGGATGATTCTGGAATCCAAAGTGGCTGAGAAAGAAATCTCTTACCTGGCAGTTTTAGGAAGCTTCCTAATCAGCAGCTTCCTAATTACATTTATCTCTTTCTCTAATTATTTCTAGCTTCCTATTCATCAGTTTCCTAATTAGCATTTATCTCTTTTCAATAATTATTCCTATTATGCTTTAGGCAACTTCTTAATTAACATTTATTTTCTTTTAGAATCAAGACTCTTGTAATAACTAAACAACGGTGGAGAATTAATTCTTGAATCAGATTAATTCCAATTAATACGTTCATCATAGATTCCGAATTACAGAATTCTCTAAGTTCTCGTTCCCTGCGCACTCGTTCTCGTCCTTAGACAAGATCTTGTACGTCTTCCCTTAAGAACTTGGTATCAGCATCCGGGACGATGGCAAACGACGCTGCTGACGCTGGCTCACTCAAAGACATGATCGAAAACATCGATCACAGGCAACTGACAGTCGAACATCAATTGGGAGACACTAGGGTTCTAGGGCTAAGCTCGCTGACATTCATAACGTTGTATCCGCGCTATCTGCAAACCTGCAACGATTGATGGGCGAATCTTCCTCCAACAATCCACGACATGAACGACAACGTGACACGGAACCTCGTCGACATGAAACTGATGATTCCTTAGTTCCCTGCTACTCCAAACTGGAATTCCCTCAATGTGACGGTAAAAGTGATCTCTTGTCGTGGTTGAAGCGTTGTGAAACCTTCTTTATTCAACAATGAACACCGGCCCAGGCTCGAGTGGGATTGGCAACATTCCACATGCTCGGCACTGCCCAACTATGGGCCGATCAACTTGAGACGGGAATTTTAGAGATTACATGGACAGACTTTTACACTCGCTGCATCAAACGTTTTGGCCCACCCAACATTTTTGCCAAACTTCATCAAACTCGTGATCTGGAGTTCTACATAAAGAATTTTCAACAATTATTGGCTCGAACCGTGGGGATCTCTATATGAATGCATGTCAAAATATTCACAGCTGGCCTTCGGGAGGTCATCCGCATGGAGGTTGAGTACCAAAATCCGTTAGATCTGGACTCTGCGATGATACTCGCACGTAATGTTGAACGCAAATATAATTTGCAAGGCTCCTCGATCGAGATCTCCTCTCCACCCCAACTTGCCAGATGGTCAGGCTATGCGCCCACACTGATCGAATCCAATCAACCTCGGGGCAACTCCATTCCAACTTTCAAAAAGATTTCTCTTGCAGAGGTTGCCATCCGACGGGAGAAAGAGTTGTGTTATAATTGTGATGATCAGTGGGTTCGTGGCCATAGATGCAAATAGTTATTTTTCATCGAAATTTTGGAAGACAATCCACTGAAAGATGACCTAGAGCCCCCTCTCTCACTTCATGCTATGGTTGGTGCTGGGACAATGAATATATTTAATTTCCTAATGGTAAAAATTTCAAAAAATTCACATTTTGAAAATTTAAAGTGAGAGGAATTCAATTATATTCTTTATAAAATAAATTTTTAATGTATTAGTAAGTAGAGGATAGTTAAAATAGAGCACATGAATAGTGTAAAATATCTAATATTGCAACTATTTAAGAATGAAAGTAGTATATTCTATAATTATTATCATCGTCTGATTCAACTAGTTTAGTAAAATGAGTTCATACTTTTCTAGAATCTAGCGTGTAAGCCATAATATTAAACTTACAAAAGAAGCTCTACGTAACAATGTACGTAAGACAAATAAAAATTATGTTGAACAGGAGAAATCAAAGAACACACTTCATTCGTATGCGCTTGAGATATTTCATTCTCAGAGTATTATTATTGAGTGGCTAATGCTCTTATAACATTGTAATGCATAGCAATTTATTTATGTAGTGACATGAACAGACTTTCGGGGAGTAGGGTAAGTTTATTTAAGTGAAAGTAGGACAAATATCAAACACAAAGTAAATAATACACTTCGAATTCTGAAGATCGATCTAGATTGTGACACTGTTTGGAATGCCCTTGCCTGTGAGACCGGGTTCACTTGAAGGGAAGAGCAAGGTGTATGGCATCATCACAGGTCCTATCCTGTTCTTCAGTTTTCCCGCTATGTTCATTTTCACTATGCGGTCTTCAATGTCGCCCAACTTCCTTCCGAATCGGGCAAATGCATCCCGTGCTTCCTTATCACTTGTCCACTCAGAGGACTCTCTTTGCCCCAAGTACACCTCATCCGAAGTGTGCCTGGAGAGAATCTCAACAAGGGACATGCCAAGTAGTGCTCGAAATGGAGGGGTGATTGTTTTGAGGAACACCTTATCTGGATTAGTCTCAAGCTCTTTATAGTCATCAGTTCCTGGGGTGGGCATGAATCTTTGGGTTATGGGAGGATGATTAGGGATATAACCACCATAAGAGTATTGTCCAAAGTTGATAGCTGCATGAAGTGCAGATGCAATCCAGATAATAATGGTACAAGAGTCAATAAGCTCCTGGATTGTTTTCATTTTAGGCCACCATGGCATGTCTTTCAAATCGCCATGTCCTTTCTCTCTGATTTCCTTCCACCAAGCCTGGAGTTCAACATCTTTTTGAACCATGTCATCAGATTTGTAATATAACTTGCAATATTCATCAACCCATGTTTTGATAGATGACCATACTTCTAGTCCATCAACAGCATACGGGTAGTCTTCAATAAGCAGGCGAACACCGTGTGGGGAACATGAGTCCTCAATAGCAACACCCCTGAAATAAGGGGTTAGGTAAGAGCAAAGAGCAAAGAGAGCCTTCTCATTTACAATTCCTTGATTGAGTTAAATAAGATAAGAGAGAGTAGTAAGATTCAATCTTATTGTAGGGGTCTCACTACTCTCTCTCATTGAGAGGGGGAATCCTGACATACCTCTCAACGAGATCAGTTGGGAGTGCATTTTTAGTGAAGTCCCAGTCCCGGTACACCATGGAAGAAATTTCCAATGAATATTTGTCAGGAAACAACGTTTTCTCGAACAACCCACCAGCATTAAGCAATATTTCCCGAGACAAAGCATTTATAGCCATTGTATCATGGAAATGAGGACGCAGAAGCTTATATATTGGGTGGAGCACACTCAACTGCCTATTTGTTGCTATCACAAATGGCTCTATTACTGCATGTGTTTTCAACCTGTCATAAAGATTCCAAAACAAAAATTTAAGTAATATATGGTTAAAGTCTTCAACAACAGTTTTACCTTTGATCTTTTAATTCTTCTATACACATACCAGTGGCTGACCACTTGATGAAAGCCCGCATCATTCATGGTAGCATAAGCTTTAGCCAACTGCCACAAGCCATAATCTACCCCATGCTCAGATGGCGTGTACACTTTGCTATCAGCGCCAAATTTATCTCCAAGTGGATGCGGCAAACTAAGCTCAATTGCTACTGGCTTCAAAGTTCCATCTGTTTTCAAAAAAAGCAGGGTTCTTGAGGCATATGCCTTGTTATTTGTTGCATTTATGCGCCTCAAGTATGGCATAAATGTGTCATGGTAGTCCACTATGAATAGCCGTTCATTCTTAATTGCCTGTAGAAAGTAACGAGGGATTGTTCCCACCAGTTCATCAAAATGACAACCAACTGGTTCAAGAAAATATAAGTTCCAGCAGCCATGAAAAATAAACTTACCTCCTCGACAGAATAACCACCTAAGCTTTTCTGGATGTGCTCATTGTTAATTTTACTGGTCTGGTCCCCATAAACTTTAGGGTCTAGTTTGCTTTTTGGCGGGAAATCCTAGCAAGTTTAACAAAAATAAACAGCTTAAGGATTAATCCTTAACTTTTATGCTTTACACACTATTTGTTTCATTTTGATTTGGACAAACATTGATCTAGTTAAATCATGAATGAAATGAATTTACTTGTAACCGACTAATAGTGACAGGGTTCGTTCCTGCCAGCATTTGTCTTCCAAATTCTTCATCTGATCTCCACGCTGTTTTATTCTCTATTGCAGCATTCAAAATTTCAGAGCTAAAAAAGTATGACATTTAGAGGAAAAATATATATTGTAAGAAAATAAACAGAACGTTTCGATACCTTGGATAACCTTTGGGGTTGGGAATTTAAAGAGCCCCTCCCCATCACTGCGGAAAACTTCTCTTAGCATTTCAATGGAAAAGTTATCAGTGAGGAGTTTCTGCCATTCAGGCAATTTCATGCCTTGTTCATAGAGGTTCAGTATCTCTTCGAAACTGTCAAACTCGTTTGGAGTGGAATCAAACAAAGACGCAAATGCTGGATTAACGAACTGAGATAGAAATTTTAATCCATAACCAAGAGCGTCTGCTAATTTCAGGTGCCCGAAACTCTCATCCCTCGGTAGATAATTATGATTAACTAAGCTGCTCAGCAGTGGAAATGTTCTCTCAGTATTTAGATCTGGAAATGGTTATTATAAGGGAACTTTTTCAATAATGAGTTGCACAGAATGGAAGCTCACGAATGAAATATGGGAACATATATACTACCTCCATCCCCGAAACAACTTCCCGCTTTGAAATCGCTCCATATGTATATATTTGGATGGACTATATGGATGGACTTTTATATATATAGCGATGAGTTCAAGTAACAAGTGGTCATCCCATGAAAAGTGAGAACAAATCTTAGCTTTAATCACTTATAAATAGATGAACTAGATGAACTTTAATCACAAGACACACTCAAATAATGTGCGAACATTTATAGTACACAATGGATATTAAATGAATAAAAGTGCACACATAAGAGTTAAAAAAGATTGTTAATTTTTTTTTTTTTAAATTTGTGCACATTTTATGATGCACGGTTATGCACTTTTGTACTATGCATGTTCACTTTTTGAATATGTTAGTACACTTTTTGTATAATTTTTTTACTAAAAGCTTTTCATAATTACTAAAACGCCACCGCGTTTTTCACTTGGGAAAAAACGTGTACCAACATATGCAAAAAGTGTACATGCAGAGTACAAAAGTGCATAACAGTACATCATAAAATGTGCACAAATTTAAAAAAAATTGGCAATCCTTTTTAACTCTTATGAGTGCACTTATATTCATTTAATATTGACTTTGTACTATAAACATTTGCACATTATTTGAGTGTGCATCTTGTGATTAATGTTCATCTAGTCCATCCATTTATAAGTGATTAAAGGCTAAGATTTGTTCTCACTTTTCATGGGATGACTACTTTTTACTTGAACACATCCCTATATATATATATATATATATATATATATATATATATATATATATATATATATGTTCCCGTGCAAAGTGCGAAATTTGCACTTTTTCATGTTTCGCTTTCAATTTTTCGTGCTTCTGTTGCACTTTTCCGCAATTGCGATTTTGGCCAAATTCAGCCAAAATCAAGGTGGCAGTTTTGTAAACAAACCAATTTTTTCGCTACCACGAAAAAGTGCAACGAAAACAAGGCAAGCGAACATGAAAAAGTGCAAATTTCGTACTTTGCACAGGAACACTACTTTTTATTTGAACTCTCTCCCCATGTGTGTGTATGTGTGTTACCTGTTTCCGTTTGTTGTCTGCTTGTTTTTCCTCGTCGCGGATAAGGATACCTGGAATCCCCACCCAGGACTGGCCGAGCATATTCATGGCCTCTATCTGGGTCTCCAAGATCATTGTAGTAAGCGTAGTCATACACCCTATCCCATTCCTTAAGCTCACCAGTTTCCTGGCCTCGCAGGTTTACTAATTCTTTCTCTCTATATTGCTTCAATGGAATAGGCGTTTGGCAGGGTAGATATGCCTGCAAGAGGTATCATTATAAATGTAGAGAATTCATTAAATGTGCCTCATCACAAATATAAAATACATCTAAGGAGCATGAAAATTTCCCGAGACTTCCGTTATGTTTGGATGAGATGCATGTCTAAGGGCGTTACTTAAGTAAGGAAGTGAGAGGAATTGTAGGCGCGGGCAATGAGGGGAAGGTAAATGTAAATGTAAGATATAAACTTACCTTATTAGGGAATGTTAAAAAAGAAGTGCTAATTACGGAAGTGTTGGACGAAATAGATCACAATAGTGTTTCATAGAGGAGGGAAAGTTCTACCGCCGTGAGAGGTGAGGTGGGTTAAACACTTAAAAAAAATTACTACACATATGAGGTTTAACTTATGGCTATTATCGAACCAAGTTTTTTTCAAACTGCCCAAATTCAAATTTGATTTCGAATCTAATTTAAAGATCCGAGCTTAACGAGTTTCGAATTCCAATGCGAGCTAGATTTTGAGTTCGAATTGTTATTCAAGCCAAGTTCGAGCATATTGATGTTTGTTTCAATCCGAACTCAAGCCTATCGATCACTTATAAACTATAAGAATGAATTATATGTGTGTGTGTATAGATAGATAGAGAGAAAGAGTAGTGACTAGAGTAGAGATAAAATCACAAAAATACTTCCCCCATTCTTTTTTAGTTGCAACGGTCCACTTTGCACATTTGCCAATGCATACCTTTGACCATAAATATATATTAATCTCGATTAGTAAAAAAACAGATTTTGAAAATTTATAATGAGACAAATGGAACAACATTTTTTTTTAAATTCTCATAAATTAATAATTAAAAATGTAGTCAAAGTAGAGCATGCGAATAGTGTAAAATTCAACATGTTGCAACTAAAAAAGAACGGATAATAGTATATAATTTCAACATTTTTTAATTAAGCCAAAAGTTGAAAAAACTTTTCTATTTTTTTGCTAACACTCCCTTAGAATCCACCTTGATATAACCAGCATTAAAAAAAAGTGTGGTGTACATCTTATATGGATACAACAATTGATGACAAACGTGGGAAAAACAAACATTTTGGAAAAGAGAAATTCATACCTGGTTTGAGAAGAAGACACGATCGTAGTTATAGTTGGTAGCAGGCCAGGATAAACCCAGGAGAAGCATATAAAGTGGACCTGGCCATGACCGGGAACTTCGTCTAGGGTTAGGGTTTTGAGGAAGAACTCATTGGGATGGTTGTTGTTGATGATGAATGCTCCTGGAATTCCCAGGTCCTGAGTCCACTCGAAGGTAACTCGGAATGCTGACTCGCCGTCAGCCAAAAGAGCGTTGTTCAGCGCCCAGTTCTCCAAGTACGCTGCCTTGCTGCGCTTTCCTTTCAGTCCATTTGCTGCAAATTTGAATTTATCATAATAAGTAGCAAGCTGAGAATAATCTTATTCCAGTTTCAATGGTAGAAGAGTGAATTTGAATGTCAAAAATGTCTTCATTTAACAAAAATTAGTCGACTGAATTTTCAATCTAATAATAGCATCTTAATAAAATTAAACAATAATGCCATTTGATGATTATCAAAGTCTTAATTGTCACCACCAAATCAAATTATATACAAACATCAAATGTCATCAACTCATTACAAAGTAATAGTATCATCTTATTGTACGTCCGCATGCAATTAACACAAATGTCATTTTATTATAATGATAAAACAGAGAATAAATATGAATAGTTTTATTATGACATTATATTATAAGTACTTTATAGTACAAGTGTTATACTAGTAATCTAGTATAAGACAATTTGTTTATATTGAATCGTGGCGTTTTGACATTATTATTTCCATCGGGATAATGAACGTAACAGTTGCTCTTTTCTCTTTGTTCATATCAATAATATCATAGTTAGAGAAAAATATTGTTGAATCCCAATATAATTCATTAAGCGTTGTAATAAATTATTTTAGAGGAATTTGACTTTGCACGTGTTACAAGTTTTGAGTGATATCGGCCTATTTTCATAATCATAAATGTGTTATGTGTGCACCCCGACCCATTTAGCATAAAATCTATCATTTGACTCTGCACACTCATTTCTATAGAGTTTTTGTACTGATTACGTGCTTACGTTAATGATTCTGAAATGGAGTGCAAAGTCTAATATAGCTCAATAAATGGTCTGCAAAGTCAAATTTCCCATAATCTCATTCATCATCATGTTATATGTTTATTTAGTACTACCTCCGTCCCATTTTATGTGTCTTAGTTTAACTTGACCCGGTTATTAATGAAGTGGTTGAAAAAGTAAAAGTTGTGGTTGAGGTTTGAGTATAATAAAGTGGAATGGTGTAGACCACATATTTGTTTCCAAAAAAGGAAAGGAGACGTACTTATTTTGAGACAACCCCAAAAGGAAAGTATGACAGGTAAAATGGGACGGAAGGAGTAATTAGTACGGAGTATTAGCTTTTTAGAAAATCTATTGATGGAGGGGTGTTTGGATGATTAAAACTGTTTCTGATTTGGTCCCTGAATTGAAGGAGTAGAAGCAGAAGTTGGAGTGTTTGGGTGAAAGTGCAGAAACACTCCTGATGCTCTAATTTACGTTACTCATAGCAATTTTTTAGAAGCTGGGGGAGCGTAACTTCTGAAAACTAATTCTGATTCTGTTTTAAAAAAGAAGTAGAAACAGAATCAATTCCAAATGTCCCTTCCATCCATTGACAGCATGATGCAACATCATCTTAACATGGTTAACATATGAAGTGGGTGGTCAACCCAATCAACATTGATGGAATATGCTTGACTCACGCTACTGATATTTTTTAAACACACATAATATTGCATTGGAAAAGGTAACTATTATAATGATCCAATAACGAACGACAATATTTTGGAAATAACCAAGTCCAAAACAACATTAACAAGAATCATCAGAATTGAACAAACATATATAGCAGGATAAGCATGTGAAATTTGCAACTGACCAGAATCTGTGTGAGTCGAACTGATAAGTTCCATCGACACCTTCTCACCAAAAACATCACTAATATTATCAGCAATAGAAGAAGGGATGTCGTTCAGGTCTAAAATATTTTTCCTCATCAACACCACCGTCCCCTTTATCTTCTTCATTTGCGTCAATGTATCAACAAACTTTTCTGTTGACATTTTTCTGAATGTCAAATTAAGTGATTTTCTCTCTAATCTCTATTTTTTATATGATGTTTTGTTAGAATTGAAGGAGCTAGACTCTTATTTATAGGTGATGTGGTCATGCATGACTGCATGTTTCTATGGGATTTTAATCCATATCATGGAAACTTTATATTTTGCACATGTAGTGTTGGGCCTCGTTTTTTTAATTCCATGAAAATGAACTTATATTGTACAGTAGCAAATAAACAGGTTGATTGTATACCAAAAAGAAGAATTGTGGAACGAAAATAAATCTGAAGGAGAATATTATAGAAGAATAATAAATATCTGTTAATTTGAATCGATCAAATGAATAAAAATATTCAGAAAATAAGATGCATAGTGAGTAAGTGACTATAATCGTCCTAAAAAAAGACTATTATAGTCACTTACTATTTATTCAAATCATTATTTCATTATCTATTTATATTTAAATTATGTATTTACAATATTGTAATTAGTCCATGTGAATGAGAATTGAGATATGGCACCTTGTAAAATATTACATATTATATACTAGTATACTACAAAAATTTCCATTAATTTAAGGGTCAAATATGTTTTT